CTCAGGCTCAACTGCAAGAACTTGATAATGGCCAGCCAAATTCTAATTTAAGTAATTCTTCATCCTGCAGTACTAGCAATCTTTACTACATTAATTAAGACTTGGTCATGTCAACCCCAATGCAATCTGCAGAACAGCCATCATATCATACAGATATTACACAAATGCACTCACCCAATACACAAACACACTCACCCATTACACAAATACATACAATCCCCACTATTGACAATACAGACTCCCAAAATATTTCAACAAGTGCACAAATACACATACTTAACACCAACACATTCGGTTCCGACTTTCATAAATACAAACTCAACCATTGCACAAATACACTCACCCAATATACAAACCCATTCGGTCTCGACTGTTAGCAATACAAACACCCAAGTACCAAAAAGACAAAGAACACGACAACTTAAAAATATACACGAATATATTTGTAATTGGAATGTGGAAAAATGAAAACATTAACATTTAATAAATACTTACCTTAAACAAAGTGCAAGTCCTTCTTTTGTTGAAATAGCCATCCTGTAGTTTGTATTTTTCTTTTTAATATGAGGTTCAAGAAGATTGTGTAAATATTCAAAAGTTTCCGGCTTCATTCTGAAATATGTATGGAAACGATCTTCATGTGATTGAAGTTCTAAGCATAGCTTATTTTCTCCGAGTTTTCTTCGTTTCTGATTTATTTCATGCACCCAGATTCTACGCTTTCTCTTTAATACCGACGCCAACAACAACATTCTGAAACGACGTCTGCACCTACAGCCCACGAAAGCTACAATGACATTTCCTTGCGAAAAAACTGCAGTGTACCTACTAACGTTCCGCAGATATTTCGCTACCGCAATTATTTCGCAAAGACTCGCAGCCGTATACGAACGCGTAGGTGTACTAAAGGCGTTAAACTTTTTCAATCAATTTTTTTAATTTTTCTCCGTAAGAAATCCGTAATCCTCGTACTTCAAGGTATATTATAAAAAAAAAAATCAGACAAATCGGTCAAGCCGTTTTCATATTATGTCGTGACAACGGAAAACGGGTTTCATTTTTATATATATAAAACATCGTGTAAAATTCGCCTGGAACTTATTTTGAATACGGTATTTTTTTTTTCTAAAATGCAGTGTTGGCTTAGTGGCTTCAGCGTGCGACTCTCATACCTGAGGTCGTAGGTTCGATCCCCGGCTGTGCATCAATGGACTTTCTTTCTATGTGCGCATTTAACATTTGCTTGAACGGTGAAGGAAATCGTGAGGAAACCGACATGTCTTAGACCAAAAAAGTCGACGGCGTGTGTCAGGCACTGGAGGCTGATCCCCTACTTGCCTATTAGATTTAAAAATGATCATGAAACAGATTCAGAAGTCTGAAGCCAAGACCTAAAGAGGTTGTAGCGCCATTGATTTTTTTTTCGAAGATGCAATCGTTAACTCTCCTGATATAACCAATGGGCTGCTACGTCCAAAAGCTGGGTCTACAGATTAATCACTGTCAAAGCTTTCCCAAGCATTTTTATCTTCTCACATAAATCCTGACACGTTGACTGTAATAACGTGTAGGGATGCTTTAATAAATTGATAGCTATTTTCCAACAGACTTTTGGCCAGTTTATTTAAAAAAAAATAGCTGCGATGTTTCGATGCTGGTCATAAAAGCACGAAAATACTATAATCAGTTTCGAAAGGTGGATATCGGATTCAATTCCTGGAAATATATAAAAATCTCCAAAGTAATCTTAATATCCATGTTCTTTTAATTAAATAATTGATATGATTGTACGAGATACTATTTATAAATTATTACCTACTATACTAAAGGTTCAATTACTTAGATTTACCTCGATAGTTGGAAATTATCCTCAGTTCACTTCACTAGGCATTTCCTTGTGCGAACTAGCGAGCTGTGATCGTCTTCCATTGAAAGTCATCCCTGAGAGATACGACCTCCATCCTCTACTCTATAAGCATAGAGTTAAAGGCCGGCAACATACCTTCTAACATATTATTCCATGGGCTGCGGTAGCTGTCTTTAAAGGCTGTTCCGTTGGCTACGTTGCCTAAATGAATATATTGTTTGTTTGAAACGAATAAACTTAAACTCCTGGACCGATAGTGAAAATTCTTTCTTCATGCTACACCAATACTTAGGTTCATATTATTTTCAGAACAATAAGTAATGTCTAGCAGAGAAAAGTCGGGATGTGTACGAGAACCTATAAAACTAACAAAATTATATCAACTATTAAATTTATTCTATAAAGAAATGACGAGCGCGCAATACGCGATATATATATACCGGTTTATATAAAAAAATATAGAAGTCACGGCTTACTGTGGTTATGTACCAAAATCCCATTTCAATAGAACATAGCTTAATATTTATTTTATTTTTTATTTAAAAATTCAAAAAATAAAATTAAGATAAATTTTATTTAAATAAATAATAGGTAAATCGAACACAATACCTACTAAATGTTTCGAAGGCTTTATAACGCTCTAACTTACGAAAAAGCTTTAAAGCAATGTAACTCACACCAGTGAGTACTATATTTTTAGACAAGATTTTTTTTAAGCGCGACTCACTTTTGTTTTGTTTTGAGATTTTTATTTTTCCCTTCGAGTATTTTTATTGTTTTTAATCAGCTGCTTTATTAATATACACACTTTAGCATCATTCCCTAATTAGACGCTCTATATAATGTTGTAAAACACTAGTTGACACTAGTTTTTGACAGGTAAATTAGAGAACTTTGTTGGCTTTGGTTGGTTGATAGTTGTGTAATTTTGAACACCTAACACACCATTCTACACCATTGTACATTCTAATACAAAATTGGTTACAACGTAGAGAATATTGTGGTCCTATTAATTTCATACATGATAGGCAAGAGATATATTATATTACATTTATGAACCTCACATATTGAAACAAAATATAAGTCCTTACATATGAAATTGGCGTATTTCGTACTGGCCACTTTAATCACGATGTTCTCCTGTTTGGTAAGGAATTCCAAATTCAAATTTGTACAGCTATTTACTCATGTATTTGTGCTTCGATGACCGTCATTCATTTGTTTTTTTCTGTTTGCGTCACTCATTTTACAAAATGGAAAACTTAAAGTATCGCATTATTTACGAGTACGAGTTCCGCCGTGGCACTAGTGTTGCGGAAACGACTCGAAGGGTGAATGATGTATATGGCGGTCATTTTGCAAAAGAAAACACAGTTCGTTTTTGGTTCCAACGTTTTCGTTCTGGAAATTTCGACCTGCAGAACAAGCCCCGTGGACGGCCTGAGACCCAAGTTGATAATGAAGTATTGAAAGCTATTGTGGAAGCGGAACCATCGCAAACCACGTCCGAGTTAGCTGCAGGCTGCGGTGTTAGTGATAAAAGATCGGTACCTCACGAATTGACTGAAGCAAACCGGCAAACGCGCGTCGACTGCTGCGTTACATTACTGAACCGGCACAATAATGAAGGTATTTTAAACCGAATCATTATCTGTGATGAAAAATGGATTCTTTACGATATTCGGAAGCGCTCATCGCAATGGTTGGATCCTGGCCAGCCAGCCAAATCCTGCCCCAAGCGAAAATTAACCCCAAAAAAGTTACTTGTAAGCGTTTGGTGGACTAGTGCCGGTATTGTTCATTGCAGTTTTCTCAAATCTGGCCAGACTATTACGGCTGATGTCTATTGTCAGCAATTGCAAACCATGATGGAAAAGCTAGCGGCTAAACAACCTAGGCTGGTCAATCGCTCCACGCCACTGCTACTTCACGACAACGCTAGACCACACACTGCACAACAGACGGCTACCAAATTAGAAGAGCTTCAATTGAAATGTCTAAGACATCCTCCGTACTCCCCGGACCTTGCTCCACCAGATTACCATTTTTTTCGAAATTTGGACAACTTCTTGCAAGGGAAAAAATTTAACTCTGATGGGGCAGTCCAAATCGCCTTCACAGATTTTATTGATTCCCGTCCGACTAGTTTTTTTAGTAAAGGGATCAATGAACTACCTATGAGATGGCAAAAGTGCATAGAAGACAATGGTTCATAATTTGATTAATTAAATATATTATATTTAAAAATATTCGACTTTTTGTTCCTCTCATACAAAACGCCAATTTCATATGTAAGGACCTAATATTCAAAGTTGACTTTAGAATATAAATTTCTGATACCATATTATTCTTGGCGTAGCTTGTAATGTACCTAGTGCCACTACGTTCCAACGCACATGGGCAAGGGCCCGAATACAAAGACAGGGTGCCAGCTAGTGAGCAAAAAATTATCCTTTTCATTATTTAAGTTATAATTTTAATAGAAAACCATTGAAATAGTAAAAATCGCATAAATTCAAGTCGAGGAAAGTAGTAGAATAATGACTTTGATAAAGTCTCTACTGATTTTTACCCTAAAAGATACTCATTAGAGCACTTGGTAAAGGAAAGCAATTTAAAACACTACGTAATAATCCAATCAATCCATTACATATACAAAAAAATATTAAATAATACGTCCCACATTGTCAATTATAGTAATTTATTTTACTCCAAATTGGTCTTCAGAATAGAATATATTTTCTTTTCAAGGTTCGGTAATCTATCTAAGTAAATAATATTAAATAACTAGCGACCATTTCTATCCTACATAGGATATAATTCAAACTTTCTTTTCCTTCATTTCAATGAGATATCATAATCATCTTTACTTGTTGGCTCTTAACAACATTTCAATGATACAAGAAGATTTACATAAATTTTAATTAAATTTTACGTAACACGTATAAAAGATTAATTCTAATAAATCTTTATTTATACAATACTTTATTATTACAATAGTAAAAAAATATTCATAAAATAAACTTATCTTTAGAATTTTTTTTCGTAATACTTTATCATATCGATACGGTAATTGATTACAGTTTATAAATTGATGTTTCAAGATTTTTTATCAGTAGTGCGTGAAATTACAATGGCGAATCTAATTTTATTTTTTGTAGTGATATCAGCATGGAACTTCACAGAATCTGCAAGGATTTTAGGTGTTTTTCCAACACCTTCAATAAGCCATCAGGTTGTATTTCGTCCAATTATGCACGCTCTTGCAAAGCGGGGACATGACGTAGTAGTAATAACCCCAGACCCTGCTTTCCCAAAAGGTAAAGCTCCGCCAAATCTTACTGAAATTGACGTACGCAACGAATCATATATTCATATAGACAAACTGCTCTCAGTGAACAGAGGGAGGAAGAATGATTTTATAACACAATTTACAAAAATCCTAGAAGGTATGCCAATTATATTTGAAAGTCAGTTACAAGTACCAGAAGTGCAAAAGATATTAAAAGATGAAAGAGACTCTTTTGATTTAGTGTTCATAGAATCCTGTGTAAGAGCGGCGTTAGCAATAAGTCACGTGATTAAAGCACCCGTCATTCAAATAAGCTCATTAGGAATTTCAACACCGCAGTATGCTTTAGCTGGTGCTCCAATACAGCCTTTTGTATATCCATCACCAATTCAACAACGCATTTATAACTTATCGTTACTTGAAAAACTTAAGGAACTTCTGTCGTTTCAAAAGATAATTAGACATATTTATGCGACTGATCATTTGGACTATAACTTGGCGAAAAAATATTTTGGAGATATTCCACAGTTTGAAGAGCTGTTTACGAACACGAAAATGTTATTTATTAATGAACATCCTCTATGGGCTGACAATCGACCGGTGCCACCAAATATTCTGTACATTGGAGGAGTACATGAAGTACCGGAAAAACCTCTGCCTAATGTATGGTAATATTTGATATACTCGCCTTACTAGTTTCTTAGGCTTACAGTGCAGTGGTAACCTATTCATGATTGCTATTAAATTAAATTTAGTTTTTATAGTTTTAGTTTAGAATATACCAAAATCTTTGTTTCTTGTTTATCTGAATATAAGTTGTTTAAATATAAATTATTTCTTATAAATGGTAAATAATTTACATTTCAAATTCGCGATTCGCGCAAATCGCTTGTCTAGAAGCACGCTTATTCCAGAAATGTCTGTCCAGTTAAATATTTTAAAAGTCCACCTATATATATGTTACTGTAAAAGCTCGAACTACGGTTAATCTTAAGATTTACGTGTAAGTCTTAGGATTTACCGACACGAGTTGGTAAATGTAAGTATTTCTGAAAATACGACGATTTTTTCGAGCTTTTACCATTCGAATTCAGTATATGCTAGGTTTTACCAATGTCAGCTGGTTGATGTTGGTTTTAGAAATAAAACAATGAGTAATTCTTAATTATTTACTTTAATGAACTATTAGACAAAACAGGTACATAGTATTATAAAGGTATCATATGATAGTAATAAGTAAATACTAATACCAACTTATTTAAATTATTTTGAAAAAACACATAACGTGTATCTCTGAATATCTCAATCTCTATCATACCTATCTAACTGAATCAGTAGTTCTCTATTTGGAATTTAACAACGAAATACAAACATAATTCTTACATAAGCTAGTCTAACTTAATAATTATTTTTGTTTTTCAACATTTACCGTGCCATTAATGTAAATCCTAAGATTTACCAACGGAATGGTGGTAAGAGTTCGAATCGCAAACCTTTTGGGACATTTACCATTAGGAATTGGTAGATCTTAGGTTTTACTGGAATATCTTAGGATTTACTGCAGTTCGAGCTTTTACAGTAACATATACACATACACTTTATTTAAACTTTATGGCTTTTTTAATGATATTACAACAGTAATAATGTAATAAGTTATTTTTCTTATAGCCTCTAAAAACATATTTAGATTCATCGAAGAATGGGGTCATTTTTATAAGTTTTGGAACTAACGTGAGGGCGAATATGCTGTGTCCTGAAAAAATCAAGGTCATGGTAAATGTGTTATCGAAATTACAATACGACGTTCTCTGGAAATGGGATAATGAGACTTTAATAAACAAATCTGAAAATATAGTAATATCCAAATGGTTTCCCCAATCGGACCTTCTGAGTACGTAGTTAATTTATGTTTACCAATTATCAATTTAAGAGCCTACCAATTCTTAAAAGGCCGGCAACGCAATTACTAGCTTTCGGCTAATGTGAATGTCCATGGGCGGCTGTATCACTTAATATTAGGTGAGCCTCCTGCCCGTTGGCCTCCTATTATCTATATAAAAAAAAAAATTATATAGATAATAGTAATTTTTTGTAATTATTGCAATTATCAAAGGTAATTATACAGGGTGTCCCAAAAGTCGACGTCAAGTCGAAATTTTCTCATAGGTAATGCCACACCAGTTATCAGAAAAATTTAAAAAAAATTAAGTCGTGTATTTTTGAAGTTATGGATATTTTTTTGTTATTCCAGAAAATGTACACCATGTGACAGTTTTTTCATTCCTGTTGTTACAAATATTTACTTTTTGCCAATTTTTTTTCTCTTACGTCATCCCGAATAGTGCTTTATATAACCTATGATCCTAAACTCTGTGCCGATCACTCCAACTTGTAGGAAAATGTCATTTTATACCGTACCAAGTTTTCAAAATTAATTTTTAGCACTAGTTCAACTGATCTTCCTGAAAAAAAAATGTATTACTCCAGTTTGGCAAGCAGGTTTAAAAGTTTGCGCATTTAATAAGGATTCTAACGTGGTATAATACTTATTTCATTATTTCTTAGATCGGCCATAAAAAAATTTTTTGTTACACAAAGTCTGTTTTTTAAAAATTTCTCTGGAATTACAAAAAACGATTCTAGTGTACCCAAAGCGTTCCTAATAACCACAGCGTGGTTTAAATAAGATGGCGTAAAGTGTGAGCGAGACAGATAGTGACGCTACTTATTGCTATTGATACACGCACTACAGGTCAGTACGCAACGCTCCTTCGTTTACTACGCATCTTTTCGAATTCGCTGGTGTTATTTTGTGTTCTAACTACTTTGGCTTCGTTACGACGACCTTTACTTTTCCCTGGACTGACGTGTTATTGTGTATTTGTACCATACCATGGCTACGTACACTACACAGGAATATGCTAACATGCACCTCATTTATGGGGAATGTTTATGTAATGCCAGTGAAGCCGCTAGACGGTATCGCGAGAGATACCCTAATGCAGATCGCTATGCGGATCACAGAGTTTTTACCAATGTGCACCGTCTACTGTTCTCTGAGGGCCGACTGCCAAACCAAGTGCACGGTGAAGGTAGAATTTCACTACCCTACGAGGCAGTTGTCCTTCAAGCAGTTGATGAGGAGCCAAGTTGTTCGGTACGTGGAATTGAGGCCAGCACAGGTGTGCCCAAAAGTACAGCTCACCGAATACTACAAAAAATAAGCGGAAGCAGTAGAATTTGTGAATAATGGACGATTTGCCCGCTTCATTTCACGATCTTGATCTTGAAAATGACATTTTCCTAAAACTTGGAGTGATCAGCACAGAGTTTAGGATCATAGGTTACATAAAACACTATTCGGGATGACGTAAGAGAAAAAAAATTGGCAAAAAGTAAATATTTGTAACAACAGGAATGAAAAAACTGTCACATGGTGTGCATTTTCTGGAATAACAAAAAAATATCCATAACTTCAAAAATACATGACTTATTTTTTTTTTTTTAATTTTTCTGATAACTGATGTGGCATTACCTATGAGAAAATTTCGACTTGACGTCGACTTTTGGGACACCCTGTATATATCCTTTTCAAATCTTAGTAGCAACACATAATAAAACACTATTTTGACCGGATTGAAGTTATGTATTATTATAAATTTACAACTATTTAACATAATTTTAAATTTATCATTGGTCACCGTGACCACGCACGCTGTAAAGCACGCGAAACGTCGGATAAATTTAAAATTATGTTAAATAGTTGTAAATTTATAATAATACATAACTTCAATCCGGTCAAAATAGTGTTTTATTAAATGAATAAAAGTTATGTTAATCAAAGACAATACTATGAGCAACACATAATTTACATATCTATATATATTTATTTTACTTAATATTTTGAAGCATTTAATATTAGTACAATTCATTATCAATCACCTAGCCTACTGTTTTTCTATTTCAGGACATCCTAAAGTGAAATTATTCATCACCCAAGGAGGTTTGCAATCAACCGATGAAGCCATAAATGCTGCCGTACCACTCCTAGGTGTGCCAATGTTAGCTGACCAATGGTACAATGTGGAAAAGTATGTTCGTCACAGAATAGGAGTCCAAATAGACTTTGAGACTCTCACGCATGACGAATTCAAAAATGCCATAGTTACTGTAATAAATGATTCAAGGTAAGTTCTTATTTACTCAGATGGTGACTTGCTCAAAATAGATGCGTAGATAATTTATATTAAAGATTGCTTTGTATTAAATCAAAATGGTTTATTAACAGAATATGTTTATTCCATAACTAAAAGATTTGGTCAAATTCTATAGGCTAGGGCGATCTTAACGTATTTTTTCCTAATAATCCTAGATCATATTTTTGGCATAATCAAACATAACCATGAATTTGCTGCGAAATAAATATTATTGTGGAAAGCAGAGAAAGGTTATCATAGTCAAAGTCAAAGTCAAAGTCAAAGTCAAATCGTTTATTTCAATTAGACCATCTAAAATGGCACTTTTGAACGTCAAAAAAAAAAATATAAAGATGATTCTAGTTGCCCCTTCCAAAAGGTAGTTTCGTGTGGAGAAGAATGGGCAAGAAACTCCACACTTACTCTTTTAAAATAGGTTTACAATATTTTGTTACATTTGTTAAATAATTATATGTGAAGACAATGTACTCTTAGAATAAACTACTATACTAAAAAAGTTAGTATACATGTTCCTCACATATTTACAAATATCGAAACCTTAGAATATTAACATTAAAGAGTAATAAAAATATTAAAAAAACACAACAAAACAGTGTGTGAGATACAAAAAAAAATAATTACATTTGTAGCATTATATAAATTTAAAAAAATAAAATAATAATAACAAAAATTAACATATTTTTTTTTAGCAAAAATTCAGCAACCAATTTGATTTTGTCCAGGCTATAGAGCCAATCATAGGATTGTCCTATGGAGCAGGACCAGCATGTTTCCAAGCATTCTTATCTTGAATATAATCATCTAATTTGTAATATGCTTGTTTACAAAGTGTACTTTTAACTATTTAAACAAAATCTTAATTTACATATTATTCAACAATTATAATTTGAATTTAGAATCTTAAATACAACTAACGACAAGTAGGATTTCAAAGTTCGAAATTGTTGTCCCGAACTTCAAATTGAGTTCCCCAACGAACTTTTTTATACTATTTTGTAACAACATTATCAGTTGTTTTATTTTGTTCCACTTGCTTAGGTTGTTTCTTTTAAAGTATGCCCGAGTCAGTACGCGCATACTAATCTAATCGAATGTTCTTTTTAATCAAAAAACTCCTAGTTACTTAAATAAAAATTGTATGTTCCTCTCTGGCGGTAGTTGACTTGCGTTCCTTAGACAATCTAGTTCTTGAAACTCCTATTCATAAAACTGAATTCTATCACTCCACCTTTACTGCGCAAAGTATCCTGCTATGGAATTCCCTGCCAATTGATATTAGACGAGCTCAGTCTTGAAATTTATTTAAGAAGCTCCTTTTTGATCATTTTCTATCTGCCTCGTAATTAGCTCTGCTGATTTGTATTAATTATTGTGATTCTGTTAACCTTTTGATTGTATCTTAAATTTTTGTTACTATATATTTTTATTGTTATTTTATCTTTAGATTTTACTTTATTTTATTTTAGTTATAGTAACGTGTTATTTTGAGATTGTTTTATTTTTTTTGGTAATAATTTTTGCATTACTTGTACTCTACCCTCTGTAGGTGTTTCTTTTTCATTGTTTCACTTTAGGGTTGCCTGGAAGAAATCGCTTGTTAGCGATAAGGCCGCCCGTTGCCTTATAACTTTTGTAACCTGTTTTTTTTTTTTTGTTATGTGTATGTTTTTGATTAAGGTAATAAAGTATAAATAAATAATCCTACTTGTCCTTTGAAACAAAACCACACTCTTATGTAAAAAGCATTATTTCAGTTACAAGGAAAATATAATTCGCCTTCGGTCAATGATGCGTGATCAACCCATGAAGCCGTTGGATCAAGCTATTTACTGGACAGAGCACATTTTGAAACACGGCGGTGACCATCTTCAGCCACCCAACTTTGGTGTCTATGGAATTTATGAATATTACGAAGTTCCATTAGTTTTAACTATTTTCTTTTGTTTATTTATTGTTGTAGGTTTATTTGTTTGGATTTTAGTTATCTTATTGAGGTTTTTAAGAAAACTAACATTCGGTAAAGTAAAGACGAGTTAGGTTGTTATGATTTATAATCCGCTCTTCTTTATATTATTAAAATGCTAAGAACAAAATAATCCTCAATCAACTAAATATAAAAAAAGAAACACATATTAAATATATTCTACAAATATTTTCGTGCTTGCTCATTTATTTTTTCATAATACCCGTATATGACTAAATATTTGTTAATTTAATTATGTTTTTCAATATTTTCCATCAAAAACTTTGATATAATTAAAAAAATACAATCGTTAGAATTTTCAATTCTTGGAAATTATGCTAAAACCAAAAATGTCTTTTAATATTTAACCTATAATTAATATTTATTTTATGCATAGTATTATCATAAATCTTTTGTAACATATGTACATTGTTCATAAGATTTGATGGCGTTATCTGTTAACGATAATTATTTATCGTTATTACAAAAATAATAAAATAGTTTTAATTTAATCTGCCTTGAAATAAATGTCTTGAAATTGTGATGTTTATTTTTTAGAGATGCCAACGCTAGTAGTTGGTATAATTGACTGTACGGGGCCACGCTCCAAAGGGTGGCAATTTGATTGTTAACGGGGGCTATTCGAAAATTTATCAAAATTATTTGGAATTTGAATTTAAGTTTTTATATGTTTTATTTACTTTGTATTATTAACAATTTCCTAGTAATTTCTTCCTAAATGATAGGTATCATTTATGATTATTTAATTAACCGATAGAATATTTTAAAATAAAAGTTGTATGTTGACTATTCATAAAAAATTTAAAAGGCTATGGTGGGGCATGGTACAAAAAAGGTTTGGAAACACTGCTGTAGATAGAGTATTGAGACCGGGCATTATAAACTTATAATTTTATTGGAAAATTTCAATGGTATGAGGTCTGTCTTTGAATCCATACCTTAGATAAACACGTAAAACAATAGCGTAATTTTTTTATCTTCTATTTTACATTTAAAACAGTACATAAATACGCTGTATCTAATATATAAAATTCTCGTGTCACAGTTTTCGTTGCCATACTCCTCCAAAACGGCTCGACCGATTCTCATGAAATTTTGTGTGCATATTGGGTATGTCTGAGAATCGGAAAACATCTATTTTTCATCCCCCTAAATGTTAAGGGTAGTCCACCCCTAAATATTTTTTTTTATTTTTAGATATTTTTTTCTGTTTTTATTTTTTTATGATACAGCATTAAAAATACATACAAACCCCTAACTTTCACCCCTCTACGATCAACCCCTATTTTTTTATTATAAATGATATATATGGCAAAACGACGTTTGCCCGGTCAGCTAGTATATTATAAGTACCTGATTATAATATTGCAACAATCTTTGATGGTAATTGATAACTTTTTCGCTTGTTAGCGATAAGGCCACCCGTTGCCTTATAACTTTTGTAATCTGCTTTTTTTTTATTCTTGTTATGTGTATGTTTTTGATTAAGGTAATAAAGTATAAATAAATAAACGTTTTGCAATTCGTTTTAGATCTTGGCGCGCTGATCATTCGTTATATTAATAGGTCCGTTTACAAAACGATACCTCCTTCATTTTCCTTTGTTACGTGGGCGTTTAATACAATCAGACGCATTCGTGGTCTTGTTTTTAAAAGCTACACAGCTTACGAAGTAACAGGCTAAATTATATAAGATTAATTTGGTAACTATGTCAAGATGATTTTGTACCCATTTAAATTAACCTACATTATACGAGAACACGAAAATCAAACGTTTGCTTTTACGTAATCTATTTATTCAAGTGATACAATTTTCGGTATTATACTTCGTTACCAGTGGATTATTTAATAATGTTGAGTGAATCGTGACACAGTTTTATTTCTTAATAGAAATTTTAAGAAAAATAGATAATAATAATGTTTCTCCCAAAAGTGGTCATTACATTGTTATTCTTTTCAATGGCAACAAAAGCCGCGCGGATATTAGCATTTTTTCCTTTTCCATCAATTAGTCATCAATACGTGTTTCGTCCACTAACTCTGGAACTGTCCAGACGAGGCCACGACGTAACTGTAGTCACAACAGATCCACGTTTTGCACCAGGAACGTCACCGGAAAACTTCACAGAAATTGACGTCCATGAAATATCTTATAATATTTTCCAAAAAATTATCAATTCACATACGGGTGAGGAAAACAAATCATTATTTTATATCAAACTGATGATGGAACTTTTGACAGATGTCTTAAAAGCCCAACTGCAAGTTCCAGAAGTCAAAAGACTTTTAAAGGAAAAATTTGACCTGTTAATCGTGGAAGCAGTTGTTACTCAAGCACTAGCTTTAGGGCATATTCTAAATGTCCCAATTATACAAATAAGTTCATTAGGATCTGTCCCTTATCAGTTTCGCGATATGAGTGGTCCTGTCCATCCGTTATTATACCCAAGCTGCTTAAGTTTTAAAATACACAACACCAGTATTTATGACCAACTTATGGAATACGATAGATATATAAAACTATATGATATCTTTATTACAAGTCAATATAATGAGATACACGCTTTGAGAAGATATTTTGGTAATGATTTACCACCCTATGAAGAATTAGTAAAGCGTGTACAGCTTTTGTTTCTGAATGAGCATCCTATATGGGGCCATAATAGGCCAATCCCTCGAAATCTTGTCTACATTGGAGGAATTCATCAAAGGCCTGAAAAAGAAATTAGCAAGGTAAATTTATAGCATTAGCATAGCATGCATAGCTTTTATAAAATAAAAAATAAATCAGTGGCGCTACAACCTTTTTGGGTCAGGGCCTCAGATTTCTGTATCTGTTTCATGACCATTTGTAATCTAATAGACAAGTCTAACACACGCCGTCGAATTTTTGGGTCTAAGGCAATCTGGTTTCCTAACGATGTTTTCCTTCACCGTTCGAGCGAATGTTAAACGCGCACATAGACAGAAAGTCAGGGATGAGAGTCCTACGCTGAAGCCACTAAGTCAACACTGCACCTTCTATACCACATGAACTATATTTGTTTCTTAACCTACTGTCTTTCTTTACAGGAACTGAAAACTTTCTTAAACTCTTCTTCGAATGGAGTAATATATGTTAGTTTTGGTACTAGCATCAAAACATCAGCATTGCCGTCAGAAAAAGTGCAAATAATGGCAAATGTTCTATCTAAATTACCATACAACGTTTTGTGGCGTTTTACTGAAGATACTGTACCGATCCAATCGAAAAATATCAAGTTCAGTAAATGGTTTCCACAGCCAGATCTTCTGAGTAAGTTTTACCCAGGCCCTTATGTTATAAAGATTTTGTAAGCAACGAGCGTTAGGTAACGTATCGATATTAATGTACAACTCAACTAAGGGTATTTAAAGACACATATCGATACAAGTTTTTTATCCATACATTTAAATAAAGATGTAAGAACTCTTTTAATTAACGTGCCTGCAAGAGCAAGCAAGCAGGCAGTCAGCCATCCCACTTTGAACATCTTTTGTTTCGCCAGTAAATAGATGCAGGCTAGTGACTAATACTAATTTTACAAAAGTCAAAAATCATTTAATCATATAGGTAACACAATGTACACTTATGAACGTTAAAAAAGAAATGTATATGAAATGCTTCTAACTTTACATTTAGTGCCAGTTCAAGGGTGTAGAAGGGAGCAGAAGAACTGGCAATAATTTCTCCGCCACTCTTTTTAATCGCCTTTTTTTACACAACGTTTGTAAGGAGCTGCTACCATTGGAACATGATGTTCCACAGGACATAAGTAATTAATAAAAATAGCATAAATTAAAAACAAAGACTAATTGTCCTCTATCAGCAAGAGGCATGGTGAAATAGGAGCACGCACTCACATTCTCGTGGGAACAACACGCAAACGCGGTCGAAATTACTAACATCACCGCATACACGAATTCAAGTACGACCAGTCACCACAAGTAGCACCCGTTTACGAGTATGACGCAGCAGCTTACAATGTTTTGTTTTTTGTTATAGAACATCCCAACGTTAAGCTTTTCATCACTCAGGGTGGTTTACAATCAACAGAGGAAGCTATCAACGCAGGAGTACCACTCGTTGGTTTTCCGATATTGGGAGATCAATGGTACAACGCGCAGAATTATTTGGTACATAAAATTGGTCTTCAATTGAATATTATGACACTTACAGAGGAAGCTTTTAGACACAGCGTCGAAACAGTTATAAGTGACAAAAGGTGGGATTTCTACAGATTATATTTTAGATAATCTTAGTGTTACCTTAAATTATACTAGCCAAAATAATTGTTGTGATATCAGTAAATTGAGGGGCCTCAAATACAGACCACAATTTTTTTTTCACTTTTAAAAATTCACATGACTTCTACTCCATTTTAAAACTTTTGCGAATTTGTCTTATTATTTGATGGATATTTAAACACTTACCCCTTTATTTATAAATACTAAATCAGTCTAATTGTAAGTCTATTGTCGTAAAAACCTTTTGAAGCTGTGCTGTGACAAGTCGTAGATTAATTTAGTTCCCCCATCTCCATAGAAGTAATTTTCGGTAATTTTTATTTGCAGTTACAAAGAGAATATTTTGAAATTAAAACAGCGAATGAGGGATTGTCCAGTCAAACCACTAGATTCAGCAGTCTGGTGGGTGGAACATATTCTTCGACACGGCAGCTCCCATTTGCAATCATTTGCTGTGGGAAGAACGTCTATTAGCGAATATTACGAATCGACATTGGTTTTGTTAGTTATTACACCTTTATTTGTCTTTATTTTAGTACTTATAAGTATATTGAATAGGTTTGTGAAAAATATCTACAAACTGATTAAATCTTTTAGTGTTAATTCTATAAAATATTTTAAAACGTTTTTCTCTTTTCAAAAATAGATTGTGAATTTGTTCTAAGCTAACTTTGAGTGGCTCAAATAAATAATTTATAAAATAATAGGTATCTGTAATAATAATAATAGGTCTGCTGTCACTATATCGGTTATGTAAACAACACTTCAATACATAAAAAATAAATATATTGTCCATATATTATGAATATAAAACATACAATAAACATAGTATATAGTCTAATTGGGAATATATAATACCACAAGCAAACATTAAAATAAACAATAATATATGAAATAGTAATTATAAATGAAATGAAATAAGTAACTAACATATAATAACTAAAATATATTATTAAAAGGAGTCCCTTTAGGCAAGGTTCCGAAGATACTGGCAGCGTTCCCCTTTGAATAGCTAGATAAATTCTTTGTCCGAGGTAGCTGCCGGATCTTCGGTCTCCTGTGATGTCGACTAACCTTTTTGATATTTCTTTAAAAAGCCTTAAAGCGCTAGAACCCCACGGACCGCTTCACAAACCGCACCATAAACTATAATTTTACATTACACAACATACTTCTAAGTGACTACTTAAATATCATTTTATTTAAACGATATTCATGGAGCCAAGTAAACTTTTTACAATTAACACATTTAATATTTTCAGATTCAGATACATAATATAAATATTTATGAAGGCATAAGTATTTTCATTCACCATATCCCGATATTCCGAGGGTCTATTGTCATACTAAATACAGGCAATTAAAAAAAAGTGCGTGTGTACTTTAAACATGTCAGAAGTGAAACTTCTTTGGCAAACTAATTTTTAAGTCTTGTTCATATTTATACAAATATAAAACGGCGGCTCATTGGTCTGAGGTTAGTACCCCTGACTGCGAATCCATGAGTCCCGGGTTCGATCCCCGGCTGAGACAAACATCGATATGATGAGCATTTGGTGTTGTGCTTAGGTCTTGGGTGTTTAAATATGAATTTATATGTCTATCTATCTATAATATGTATGTATATCCGTTGCCTAGTACCCATAACACAAGCTTCACCAGCTTAGCATAAAAGAAAAAAAACCTTAAGATTTTCGAAACTTAGAAAGAGGGAAAAGGGAAGATATGTCCGGGATTTAATGAATTTAATTGCCATTAAATATTAAAAGTGTCGAAAATTAATACAAATTATAAATTAAAAAACTCGTGGCATTTTAATTTACAATTCGTTATTTGAGATTTCAATAAATTATTACGCTTTAATTTTAAAAATAGAATTTCTATAAGGTAATTCGCCCTTCTCACTCTCTCTCGATCGGTCTGAATCGCTCTCTCCCTTTTCTTCGACAAAAACGCTCAACATGTTTGTGACGCTTATATTATTATTATTGCGTTTCATCCGTAAAAATTTTACCATCATGCGCCTAAAGAAGTTCACTTCAAAAAACTCGCTCCAAGTAATGCCTATTTGTAAAAAGTATGATATGATATATATGATAAATCAGTTTAGTCATAGTTCTTACACATGAATTTTTGAATAATGGCAGTATCCAAACAGAAAAAGTAGTCATTTTACCATTACTCTTTTCTAATAGAATAATTTTTGGATAAAGGATAATGCGCGACCGTAAACCTTCATTAAAATGAAAATGTTACAAAAATGTTACGCAGTGAGATTAATGCTATCTATGAAAGCAAAAGAATCTTATAAATAAAACTAGCTGATCCGGCAAACGTCGTTTTGCCATGTATATCATTTGATCATGTTAAGTTTCCGCCGCTCATGGACACTCTCAATGCCAGAGGGCTCGCGAGTGCGTTGCCGGCCTTTTGAGAATTGGTACGCTCTTTTCTTGAAAGACCCTAAGTCCAATTGGATCGGTAATACTGCAATGGGCAGCTAGTTCCACTTAGTGGTGGTGCGCGGCAACAACTGCCTTAAAAACCGCTCAGTTGTGGAACGACGGACGTCAAGGTTATACGGGTGGAATTTCGTATTCTGCCTCAACGTCCGGTAATGAAACAGTCAATTGATCGATGAAATAAATTATTAGTTAAAAAGGGCCAATACCAAAGTGTCTTAACTTGAGCAATTATAGACGTATAACATTTAAATATTGTCTATGAAATGACTCTAGCATTAAAGCCTTTTTTATTTTAGTGACCAAATATTTGGTCTACAGTGTATCCTGGGTCACGTAGGCCTCTTCTAGCCCTCTCCATTTATTTCTATCCTTGGCATCTCTAGTCCACCCAGCCTCACTGTGGTTGCATCATCCCACCATGGCCTGATCAGCCTACCTGTTTTTCTTTTCCCATCTCGGGGCTGCCATTCAGTAGTGAATCTTTTCCATTTCTCGAGACTTGATCTTGGCATGTGATCGTCCATCGCCATTTCAGCCATCTTATTCTCTGTAAAACTTTCACGTTTGTAATCTTTCAGACTTTGTCTGCCCTTGCGTGATTCTGCAGAGTGACAGTCTACTCTATTATAGGATTATATAAATACTCATATATGTACTAAAATTCATTTATTTCTATAACAGTTCAATTACTTTTTCTTTAATTTAACCTTCGACACAAATAAAGATCCTAGAAAACTAAAAACAATTTTAAGAATAATTAACAATACAATTATCGTAATAAATAGAATTGCTGCAACTACACTAAGTAAGTTTAGTTCATAGTATTCTGTCCAGGACATGCCGGCAGATGGAGGCTGTAAATGGTCCCCTCCATGTTTTATCACATGTTCGATCCACCACACAGCATTGTCCAAAGGTTTTAGGGGGGTATCTCGCATAACATCTCTTAACTTTAAAATATTCTTCTTGAAACTGAAATAAAAAGTGGTTTAAAAATTTATAAAGTAAAATAAAGGCGTTCGTTTATTGCGTTGGATGTTTCTTTATTGTGTTGTGTTACTAGGCACTTGCTCCTACCGTAAAGACATACATCGTGAGGTAAAATTCGAGGGCATGTGTCAGGAATAGAATTCTGATTACCTACTTGACTACAAAAAATAAAATCTATTTATAAAATTCTTCAAATGAATCCATATCTCAATAAAACTCTCAAAAAGAGCACTAAAGAAGTACATATGTATTACGCAATTTTTTCGTACTATGTTAATTCCAGCTTTTTTATCTATAGACAATGGAAATGTCTTATCAAAAGTCCCAAGGTCGATTACTCATAACTGTTCTAATTAAGTCAAAGATAAGATTATTGCCAAATTAATGATAAAATTAACATTAATTGTGAAATCCTTTTGAATGAATTATCATTTTATTAATACGTGATTTAACGTAGATGTTAAGTAGAAATTATTCTAGAAAATTAACTTTGATCTTTTGGGGCTATATTTATTATTGTTCTAGCAGCAGTTTACTTTTATATCAAGAAATTGACTTTTAATATTTGTTAGTAAAGCCTAATTAAAGTGGTAACCAACGGTGACCGAATTGGTGGCGAATAAGAAGTTTGTTTTGTCAAAAAAATGACATCGTATCCCTGTCAAACAGGTGATCCCTGTCACGAAAAAATATGGTTTCCTGTTTTATAGATGTTAGGTATTGTTGAAAGCGAACCCAATAATAGGTAGACTATATTAAAAATGTATTGTTTTTTTTATTTTAAGCACTTTGATAAGCAAATAATTTATGGTTTAAGCGTGGGACTTTTAACCTTGAGGTCACGGCCATGAAGTTTTTAATACTTGCTTATTTTTATCTGGCGGCCGCTATGTTAATAATCTCTTTAACACTATCAACCTTAAATAAGAAAATGTGTTTTCTACTTTCTATAAGGGCGACTGCGATACATACTCATACGAGTATGGTACTATAATATAGGTTGTAATAACTTACCTTGGATCTCCAATAATAGTTTCAATTGCATTTCTAAAAGGCTCTTCTTTCAAAGTGAATAAATCAAGTTGTAAGCCAATTTTGTGATGCAGATACTTTTCTACATTGTACCATTGGTCACCAATGACTGGCATACCCAAGACAGGTACTCCAGCCGTTATTGCCTCGTCAGTGGATTGTAGACCTCCTTGTGTTATGAACAGTTTGACGTTGGGATGTCCTAAAACGATAACTTTATGGTGAACAGATAGAAAAAATCTCTGTGTATCTCATACCTTAGTATTAAAAAAAAATCAGTGGCGCTACAATTTTTTGTGTCAGACCCTCAGATTTCTGTATCCATTTCCTGATCATTTGTCAATCTAATAGGCATGTGATCACCTCAGTCTCGTGCCTGACACACGCCGTCGACTTTTTGTTTCTAAGGCAAGCCGGCTTCCTCACGATGTTTTCCTTCACCGTTCGAGAAAATGTTAAATGCGCACATAGACGCACAGCCGGGAATCGAATCTACGACCTAAAGGATAAGAGCATGCTGAAGCCACTAGGACTAGGCCAACACTGCTGCTAGTATTTAAACCACGTGATTTTTACATGTTCCTCACATGTAATATAACGCGTGGTTTCAGTAAGCAAAACTATCTCATTAAAGACTAATAATTAATGGTAAAGTTATTCAATGAAATTTAATAACAAAATGTAGATTTTACATTCAAGCTGTCATATACAAATCAAACATAAAAAAACAACTATTGTCTCTTTAGGTTTAGGTTTAAATACTTTATTTCTCAAAAAAGACAAAATGTCACTTACATGAGAATAATACTCTAGATAACATAACATTGTAGTCGTTCTTAAAATAATCACAATAAAATATAGCCGTACATGCAATAAATTTAAAATAAAAGTAAACAAAGAAATATGAATTAAAAGTAATTATAAGAAATGAATTTAAAAGTAATTTTGTTTAACATATTCACTTAGCTTCGATTTGAATGAATTTATGGAAGTAATATTTTTTATATCTGTGGGTAGTTTATTATACAGCTGTGCGCCTTCGTAGGTAAACATATTTTGCCGTAGTTCGTACGTACTTTAGGTAGTGCAAGATAACTCGTTCGACGCATGCTTCGTACACGTGGCGGTTTAGAGAAAGCTAAACTAGTGTGGAGAGAACTTGTTATAAATTTTTTTACAAGAATACATGTGTGATAAATATAAAGTTGTTTTAGATTCATTATGTTTGTGTCTCGATATATATTTATGGTAGGTGCAAGATAATTATACTGGAACAGTATTTTTATAATTTTATTTTGTAATACTTGAATATTTATTAATTTAGTTTTAGCGGCGCTGCACTGCCCCATACTTCAATTAAATAAAGTAGATGTGGCTTGACCAACGAGTTGTAGATCTCTTTAAGTATGCCATAACAATATAGTACGTAAATCCTAGAAATTACTTTATCGAAATTATCTACAAGAGAGAAGAATTTCTAATGGATTACCTAAAACTGTGAATAAACCCAACTTACTTAAAATATCTGCTTGTGGAAACCACTTAGAAATTTTGATATTCTTCGGTTTTCCTGGTAATTCATCCATGTCCCATTTCCATAAAATGTTATAAGGTAATTTAGATAAAACCTTTATAATTGTTTCAATTACTTCTGGAGGTATAATCGAAGTTTTTACATTTGTTCCAAAACTTAAATATATCGCACCGTTTTTGGAAGCATCCAGATATTGCTTGAGATCCTAAAATATAAAGGTTATGTTATGTAATTAAAAAATTGGTTATTAATTTATTAAAACTGTTGTTATACACTATGTGCTGTTTTATTGTTAACAGTTATAGCATCATCATCATCATACCTTTGGAAGTTCTTTTGGCGGTGTTTGGTGGACTCCACCGATGAATTTAACATTAGGGCCAACCGGCCGATTGTCCGCCCAAAGTGGATGTTCATTGACCAAAGCTAGTTTAATATTCTTAAAAAGATCATCAAAGCTAGGTACATCTTCACCAAGATGTTTTCTCATTATTTTATAATCATTATCTTCAGTCGTTCTAACTATAATATCTAACACCACAAAACTTATTATTTCATTAATCTTCTCAAGAGCTGTCAAATTGTACAGTCTTTGACGACCGGGTGACGGATAGAGAAATGGATGAGTCGGTGCACCAAAAATGCCATAGTGTGCTGGTACTAGACCGAAAGAACTTATTAAAACAACTGGTTTATTAAATGCATGGCCCAGACCATATGCTACACGCACACATGCTTCCGTTATTATTAGATCAAATTTATCCCGATCTTCCGTCACAACCCTTTTCACTTCTGGATCTTCATTTTGTTTATCAAACACTATTGTAAATCTTTCAATAAATTCCTTGATTTGAGTCAATAATTGTTGTTTATCCACTCTATTATCTATGAGTAATTCTTGCCAATTTGAATAGGAGACATTGTGTACGTCAATTTGCTTCAAGCCTGTAATATTAACCTTAGCAGGATCAGGTGTTATGAACACAATATCATGGCCTCGTCTTGCAAGTTCGTGGATGATGGGACGAAAAACTATTTGGTGGCTTATAGATGGAGTTGGAAACCATGCTAATATCCTCGCGGATTCTATCCCCGCGAGGGATATTAGTAAAGCAAACACAGCCACTCGTTTCGACATATCTAACCTAATTACAGGATAAATTAAAACTACGTTTTGTATAAAGATAGCACAGATATCGCATTGATAAAAAAATATATAATAGTAAGTAAGTAGGACATATATAGAACTACATATTTAAATTAATTATTAATAAACATAAACTTTTTGTTGTTTTCCGCTACTTAAATTAGTAGAAAAGTATTCACAGTATACACTGCATGTTTGTAACTAAACTCGAATGGATTTAGGTTCGACCACACTACACCTAACTCTGTCACAGGCCGAAGACGCCGAATCGACCAGGGCAGGGTTTTTTGTAAGTTTGTAAGTGAATTTGATATATAACATTTACAAACCACAGGGTAGACTGTAAATGGCATCACCTATTATTATCTTTTTCTACATGTCATTACTAAAATGAAAAATATAATTTAACATATATATATATCTACGAGTTGACCCAGGCCATGTGTTTCAAGTAGTATGCAATAAGTAGACTGATATTGTACACTCCGGATTTGAGATATAAATCATTATTGATAACAATAAGTGTCGTTGAAGCGAGAACTCCGATAAGTGATTTGATTTAATAAATCACCATTGAATAATATTTTATGCATTTGTACATAAAAACAACAAAATAAATTTTAAGTTAATTAAAGTATGTCCCATTGTTTTAAACAGCTATTGAAGTCTGTAAAATCATTTTATAATACTTTAATGTTGTGTATTAACAACGAAAATACCCTAACATAGGTCCTGAGCCGATATTTTAATAAATATATTGTTACCAAGGAGTGAAAAGATCAAGAAGTAACAACTCACGAACACTAGAACAAAAATTATATCTTTTATGCATCGTATATGAACGAAGTTAATTCTTATTAATAAATTATTGATTACTCACTGTATGTGTATGGTGTAAATGTAAGTAAATGCCAAGTGTCTATCTCATAAGTTTCATCGATGCATTATTACTATTTCTTTTGATTTTTATATAATTCAATATGATGAAATAATCATTTTATATTTTTATTTTCAATCGATTAAATAACATATTTATCCAATAGACATATTTATTCAAAAAGCACTTTCTCTTGAAGCTCTAATGAAAATCCTGGAGTTTAGCTTAGAATGTAACGAGGCCGAAAATTATTTTTATATCCACATAGGTTTGTATATATACACAGATAATTATTTTATTTTATTTTTATTTGTCATAATATTTATTTACTTCTTAAAATAGTTGTATGTAACGTCCGCGGGGAATTTCTAACGTGCCACAAGTTTTTGAACTAGTAGTTACGAAGGAAGAACGAACACAATATTTTAAATATACAAATAATTTTACAATTCAATTAAAGTATTTACTTCCTTTCTTTTTTTGAGTAAAATAAAGTTATCCTAAAAATAAAATAAACATATTTTATTTTTTTATTGTAGTTGGCTAATAATTTGATTTAGAAGTACCAACCTTTACTAAAGTACTACGCTTTTAATTTTAGACCCCAAGCTATATTATGTATACTAGCAGACCGGTCAAGCGTTGCTGTGGCTAAGGTTTTTGTTATATTACATAGTAGCAAACTATTCAAGGGAAACGGTAGGAGAACGCCAGTCATGGGGATGAGCACCATGCTTATTTGGTGGTTATGCCATTAAATTGTAGCTTATGTGAAACGTTGGTAGTTTCAACACAGCGCCATCTGTTAGAATTGTGACTAACAAATAATAAACAAATATTCTGCAATAAAATAATATAGTGGGTATGAATTGAGATAAACTATCCTATCTTTTAAGTTGGATCAAACTACACACGTTGTGCAAATTTAATTGATATCGGTTGGGTAGTTTCGGAGTCCATAGCGGACAAACAACGTGACACGTAATTTATATATATTACGTAAGATAATACTCGTAAACCCATGAACAGTTGATAAGGTTTAATAAAAATTTAAGGTTTTGTCATGGAACAACAAAATGGACGTGATGGATTATTCAGCCCTAATTCGTTAAAGTTCAAAGAGATTCGCGAAAATCTGTCCATCAATCATTCCGCGATTTAGATTGTAAAAGAGAACCAATCTAATTTTTAAATGGATTCGTTGGGATTTAGAAAATTGTTTGAGTTTTTAAAAAAAATCGTTTCAAACAATGCATTTTCATAATGAAGTTATTCTCAAACATATTAATAATATTATTAATTTTATTTCGGTGGCCTCGGTGTTACTCAGTCCAAGTGAAAACAGTAATTTTTTCATTTCTATTTTGCATTTTCGGGTTATTTTTAATATAACGTTTTTTGGATGGTATTCGGTGTTCGGAGTATGAATAATTTTGTTTAATGGTTCCGATATTTCCAGTGTTAGACAAAATTACAGACTTCATTCAAAATGTGTATGCTATCCATGTTCCAACCATACCTTTTCTTAATCCATTTATTGTATTACATATCAACTAAACCACCCATTTCTATACGGTTTTATGACGTAATCTCAACCTCTCTCAGAAGGTAGTATTTTAATTTTATTTTACATTTTTGCGTTAAAAAATGAAAATATAATATCAGAACGTAAATTATTAATAAATCAGGGAATAAAATATTGTTGTTCTTTTGTTATATTGTCGGCTCACGATTATGTGCCGGTTATGTAAGACCGCTCTGGTACTGAACTGAATAAGTTTAGAGCGCGGTCTATATGATGTAACATGTTATTTTTGTTTTTCTGTAGTGGACCAAGAAATATCCAATATTTTCACCCTTCAATAACAATGAATTTCCCAAAACATATGTAATATACAGAGGAAAACAGCGGTCCGGCGCATAATTTTCCCTCTTTATGTATGTTCACATAACGGTTTCGTACTTTATTGAGTTTTGTTTCAAAAAATGATATACAATTTTAATAAGAAGCAAACGGGCATCATCTGATGTAAAGTGAGACATCTCTCGCCGCCCATGGACAATCACATTGCCAGAAGGCTCGCAAGTGCGTTGACGGCCTTTTAAGAATTGGTACGCTCTTTTCTTGAAGGACCCTAAATCGAATTGGTTCGGAAATACTTCAGTGGGCAGCTGGTTCCACATAGTGGTGGTGTGCGGCCAAACTGCCTTAAGAAACGCTCAGTTGTGGAACGACGGACGTCCAGGTGATACGGATGGTATTTTGTATTCTACCTTGATGTCCGATAATGAAACTCAGATGCAGGTATTAGTCCGAACTACTCCTCTGAACACTCTCCACGGTAAATGCGGTAAAAGATGCAGAGGGACCCCACATCTCTACGGAACGCCAAGGGAGGGAGAGATCAAGCCGGACGGAAAGTGACTGGTCGTTGACGATTCGAACGGTCAAGCGGAAGGAGCTGGTACTGGGGAGCTCCCGCCTAGAGGTGAGAACAGTACTCCATGTGGGGCCGAATTTGCGCTAAATTAAAACTAGTTTTATATGTCACTTATATAATAATCAAAACAAAGTTAATGAAGCTTTAAGTAGAATCAAAGACAATTATTATTAAGTTTAATTTAGTTACTTAAATGGCTTGTTTGATACAGACGCAATAAAATTAATTTCAATGTAATAAGGGTTTCTATAAATAAGTGCGTGCGTCACTGATGGAGGTTATGCTATCTAAATGAGTTTAAATCCGTCATTTATCCAACGAATTACTTTTTATATAACTTATATTAAAAGCCTCAACTTTAGATGCTATGTTATTAAAACTTAAATACAATTATTAAGTTAAAATATTAATTATGGGTGAAATGAATTATTGACATATCCACATGATATTATTATTTTAATACTCGCTGTTTCCTTTAACTTGGAAAACAATTCAATAAACAAAATAGTGGCACAATGCCTGAGGTGACAAAGGGTCATAACCACAGTACCCTGACGTCGCCTTTCAATCTGTGCAAAAGACTGTGGTCCTTATGAAACGACAATAGTCGGTTTTGGCCAATAATAATTAATGTTTGTTTGTGATTTTATGCTCAAATTGTCGGTCCAATAGGTGTTTACAAAGCTTCCTATATTAAATGAGGACCTCAAAATTCGTTTATCGTCATTTTATTTTGACTACCGGCCTGACTAAATTTTTTTAAAAGCAAGACATTGGATAAAAAAAAGTGAGCAGTTTTTGTTACCATTTTTCACTTAGTGTTCAGCCTGTACCAGATTTACCAGTCGATGTTTATGTGTGTAGAGCAGTATTGACCTAGTGGCTTCAGCGTGCGACTCTCATCCCTGACGCCGTAGGTTCGTTCCCCGGCTGAGCACCAATGGACTTTCTTTCTATGTGCGCATTTAACATTAGCTCGAACGGTGAAGGAAAACATCGTGAGGAAACCGACATGTCTTAGGCGAATGCTACACGCTCGATATTTATCGTGATATTTGGATCGTGATCCAAAATTACGATGTGTAGTACATGCGTATCACGATCCGTGATACGGATCGCTGGATTTCTAGAAATCTAAAAATCCACGATCCGTATCAATTATCGTCGATAAATATCGAGCGTCTAGTCTCTGCTCGATATTTATCGCGTCAGTATTTATTCTGCCAGCGATGGAAGAGGACGCGCATATATGGAGGCGGAATAATATAGAGAATTCATACTTGTATTAGAAACATTACCTATAAGTATAGGCTGATTTACACGTATTAAGTTGCCAAGTCTTAACTAAATTTTAAGTAACCGTTTACACGTAAAAATACTAAATAATTAGTTAAACTCATTTATTCGCTCAAGATGGACGACCACAGAACAAAATATTATAGGATTTTCTCTTCCTGATTGGGGATTTACTGTATTGTATGCTCCAATACATGATTGTGAAGGTTCTGGGGACTCAACGTAATACGTATTTGAAGAAGGCGAAGGAGTAAAACGGCTACTATTATTCATTGGGGAAGGGGTTCTACTACTGTTCATTAATTGTTGTATACGCATATCGGACAAATAGTTTTGGATATGTTTTTGAGCTTCCAGCGCCGAAAGCAAAAGCATAG